TCAGGATTAACTGGTTTTTCATATCTTGGTTCATCGTTATTATCGGACAAGACTTATTTGGTTTGGTTCACAAGTCAAGATTAAAAGTACTCAACTTAAAGCGATAAGATTTTAGGGCCATCTAGTGGCCCGATGGCAAGGATGTTCTCGTTTCCAGTATCTTAGAAGAATGGTTGGTGCTTGAAAAGTTTCTTACTAGTCTTCAACAAAAGGATTGGATGAGACTCATTGTTTATCATGCAGAGTCAAATATTAGTATCCATACTGGGATCTTGTTGGGCCAATATTTACTGATTGGTATGGAGCAGTAAACCTAAGAAAACTGCTGATGAAAAGTGAAAAGCTGTGTAAATGTTTGTATTTTTCCGTATGTTCGGTACACTGGCTTACTTCTACCTACCCTTTTAGGCCAGCATGTACAGACCAACATGTGCAAGAGTGTTTAATTTGCAGTTGACCATCCAGAGGCAGTTCTGGCCCAGTGATTGTTTGTGTAACTAGAGATCTAATAAACACATGAAAGAGGAAAGAAGAGAGGGGTGGAACTTTCTTCTTTTTCCTGTTCTCTTTCTGTTTGTAAACCATAGAGGGTAATAGAGGGCCTTTGCAATGAGCATGCGTTGGGTCCAACTAGGATCTGATTCTATCAAGGAATCAGGAGATTCAAATGTGGATCCTGATCCAATAATTAATATACTCTGGTTGTGTGTTGGACAAATATTAAATTAGTACTGTTATTATCAGGTAGTAATTCGGAATCCGTATGCTATAGCTTGATGATTACAGCTTTAAGCATCGATACCCAGCGTTCGGCAGACTAATCCAGCGAGGAACACACACACTATGGCTTCCTTCATTCTCTTCTCTTTTTGCTCTCTCTTCTTTCTTATATTCTTTTTCGTTTTCTCCTTTTCTTTATCTCCTCTCCTCTTGGTTCTTTTTTCCTTCTAAACTTTATTCTCCAAATGGTTGCAATTTAATCTCATGAGACCAGAAGAGAAACTCTGATGTTTCCCTTAACTCAAGTCTTGAAGTAGGTACAGGAAAATCCTTGCTTTAGGAAGCAACAGAAGCATAAGTAAGCCATGAACATATTATTAAACTAGCCCTTGAAAAAGGTGCATCGAGTTCAAGTCATATGTTAAGCTAAAAATGTAAAACTGCATTGTGCTATTGGTATTTCTTGTCTAGAATGATTGTGTTCTCTGGGTGATCGTTGCACAGACCTTTAGGAATTTTTTGCATTGCTTTTTCAGGTGCCCTTTTCAGTCATGCAAGAGTTGCTGCGCCAAAGCTGAAAATCCATGTCATATTCATGGTAAGTGGATAAGCTACTATGGGGATCGGTAATCATTAAGAAAACCAAACCTCTTTGAGATCATCTGTTTATTTAAGCTGATCATGATTTCATTGATTCCATTTAAATTCTTTGATGCACTTATTTTACCAACTGATCATATAGAAAATTTATGCCCTGCTATGATGTTTCAATATAAGTACCATAATGAGTTAAACCATACATGTTTCTAATATCCACTTTCATTAATTTTGCTTTGAGGGCAAAAATAACAGTTCTTAAACACAATGGTACTTTGCCGGACAAACCACCACCTTCTAGCTCCACGACGATAGAACAACCATCCAATGATGTGTCCTCATCAGGGTATGCTGTAGCAAATCATATCTAAAAGGATCTACACCTGGATTTTTCCTCGTGATTATCTAATATTTAATCATATCAGGGCTTCTGGGAGACTCAACTCACTCAGGCAGATTTCCACTAATGTTGCCAATATCTTACGAGCTAGGAAACCGTTGAACAGAAAGGTATGGGCATCATATACAATCTGTTCTTCTGAATTGCTGAAACTGCCTGTTATTTTTGCTCAGGACTTCCATGATCTTGATAATGTCTCAGGATGCTGTGAATATAAACAGGTGGAGGTTTATGAAGTTAAGAGAGCATTTTGAACGAGATATTGAAGTTGAAAACGAGGCATTTGATAGGTACATGCAAAATGTGAATTTACTGGAGGAAACATTCTCAATCACGCAAGGAACGGAACCGGGTGATCAGACTGCATTGGTTGCTGGTTCTTCTGAAAAATTGGTCTCTGAGATTAAGATGAAGCTGAAATCCAATTCTGAAAGAGCTGAGAGTTTTCAGGAGAGGACACGAAACCTCATCGACCAGAAATTATGTGAGTTGCAGAAAGGAGAATTCGTTTCTGATGATTGTTCAATAAATGATGATGACCTAGATGATCATAGAGAGTTCAAAAGATCAAGACAGATTATGAAATGGCGCCACGACAGAAACTCAACCATGGATGATGTAATCAATAAACTGAACAAAGCGCATAGTGAAGAAGATATAAGAGGTTGCATGGACTTGAAGCTGCAGTGCACATCTGATAATCTGACAAGTGAAGATCACTCGACACCCAAGCAAGAATCAGCAGACGTGACAGCTTTGTCATTTTGTTCTCCACCCAAGATGTGGATGACTGCCCATGTTGATCAAGAGACTCTTGCGAACATCAACACACAGTTTTCATCTCTTAGCAGTATTGCAGAGTTGTGATTAAAGCGGATCTCCAATCCATTATCATTGACAAGGCTGACTAGCTTGGGCATCATGCAGACTATTTAAAAAGTGGATGGAAATATGGTGTGCTGCTGAGGATTCGTTTCATTATTAGTTTTTGGTGTCCGAATCTCCATATATGTATCTCTGTATAATCAGCGCCAGTAATCGGTTTACCATCCCAACTTCTTAAAGAAATCAAGAGAAAACCAAACCTGCCTGTAAACTTTCAGGTTTGGGGTTTCCTTGTACCATTAACATTAGTGTCACCTTTTTTTTTTTTTTTCCCCAATCTAATGTTTACTTACTGGTATGGAGTGTTTTATGTTTCACTAATGGTGCATGACTTCTTCCATTACCGTGAAACATCCTGGAATTCATTTGTGGTTTGAACTTTTTTTTAGCGAACTTTGTTTCTGCATAGGCCGGGCGGAGTTAAATCGGTACGAGGAAATCATCAATCATCCTTAGGATGTATTTTGTGCCTAAAAGGTTAGTCTGTGGATAATCCTCTCCATAAAATTGGGTATTCTAATGTTATTTTCTAGCACTAGAATGAATCCTTTTGAATCAAAATCTGGTCACGCCAATAGCCTCCCAAATGGAATGTTGTTCGACTGTGGCGATGGGGGGTGGGGGTGGGTAAGGAGGAGGTGATGTCAGAGGAAACGGTGGGATGTGTGCGAGACAGTAGGTGGGCAAGGATGGCGTGATAGCATGGAGATGGAGGACGCCAGCAGCCGAGACTGTTGCATTGATGAGAGAGAGAGAGAGATACAGAAGCCTCTCTGACACCTCATTACTAAATGTTCGTTCTTACTTCCGAGAAGGACTAAAGGAAACATGTTAGTAATTGTTAGGTGGCATTGGCATTGGTGAGGTGGAATGGATGAGAAAGTGTCCTTAAGTAGGATTTGGTTCATCCACTAACAAGATACTCGATGTTCTTCCACCACCTTTCGTTTGTCTGTGATTGCTTCCAGGTCGTCCATAACTAATCCCCGAGGCATCAGTTTGATTGATGGACCTTAAATCTCGTTCTCGGTGACTATATGCTAGGAATCTGGATCATGGCAACCGGTGCACGCATGATGATAACTCTTCTTCATCTTGACCTCCTCCATCTTAGCTTCGACAAAAGCTTCCGTGTGTCGGCGGAGATCAACATCACCATCTATCAGACCCTTTTTGTGTTTGTTTGGGTTGTCTTTCTCTTTTTCTGGATCGATAAGCATGGCCTCAGATGGCAAAATTAACTCGTACTTTTTTTAATCAGGAGGCTCTGCTTTTATCATCACGTCAGTCTCGAATCATTCACGCAACAATTGCAGGCTTAAGAGACAGAGAAAGAGATGAATCTAATCTGAAGTCGCACGTTACTCGGTAATTACTTGCATGAGAGGGCAAGCATACACCCACCCGACCATGTGACATCAGTTGAATTCGACAGCCTAAATGACTAAATATTGTGATTTTCCAACTGCAAATGTCAACCATTTTGAAATCGATCACAGTTAAAGTTTTCTCTCTCTCTCTCTCCCTCTTCTCTGATCTCCGTGAAATCGATAAGCTGTAGCTGTAGTCAGAGATGTTTCTCATCTATTTGGATGATTTGATTTCATCGAGGAGGAGTTTTCACTGTGATTTCTTTATCACATTAGAATATCCGATCCGATCAATGAGATAAGAGAAGATGGAATGTGAGTTACGTGCAAATGATGGATGGATAGATGGATGGATGGGTTACGTGCTCCCAACATCAAACTTGACATCAGTGCCAATTAGTATGAAATATCTTCTTTGTTCACGGGCAATAATTGCCAAAACCCACCCCGTGGCTCGTCGTCGATGAGATGGGATGGGATGGGATCGACGGGCTCACCCCATGACGATGACCGCCCTGCCTGCAAATTATGGCGTCCCCGGTAGCTGATGGAATCCCAACAGCCCATTCACGCATTCCTGCCATTCTATGCTCCCTATTTTGTCGTCGTCTAACACCCTTAAATACCAGCTTACAAAGTTGTTTCAAATCTCATTTAAAGTATTAATACATATTATTAATGAATGAGATTAAATTATGATAATAAGTTATGTATGAATAAAACAAATAAAAAAGAGGTGTAGAAGAAATACTATTTCTATTAACGCACTTAAAACATTTTTGTAATAGATCTTTTTAATTTCAAACGAAAACTCTCATCCAACATTCTTCGTCCAAAGAAATAAATGATAAATGAAACAACGGCGGGATAATCGATCCCCTTTTCGGAACACGGATGAATCGGTCTCCGACCCCAAATCGGTTCACCGGTGCAACTCAGATATGATAAGATCGAAGAACCCAAGTGTGGATTGGTATGCACGTTTACATGTACTACCATATTATCATCTGGATTTAGAAACTAAATCATAAGAAAGTCTAAAAATCGACGACAGCTTTTTCCACCAAAATAAAAAAGAAAGATTACGGTGAGCAGCAAGCAATCGGTGAAAACAGCAGCCCCCACCTCTCTCTCTCTCTCTCTCTCTCTTTATTTTGTGGGTGGGGAGTGTACGAGGGAGGGCGCAAGAAGCGAAGGCCTTCTTTGGACTGATTCCTCTCTCTGTCTCTCTCTCTCTCTCCTGTCTTTGCTTTGCCTAAACTGCATCGAAAGCGTGGCGTTTGGAAGCAGCGGGCGACACAGAACAACAACCAAGTAAGAAGAGGAGAGGCTGAGGACCGAGTTCTCCTTTGCCTTTGCCTTCGATTCCACCGCTTCTTTCTGCTTTATTCCTCCCCCCGCCTCGCTCCTCCGCACTGCTCTTTGGCGAATCCGCCTCCTTTGCTTGCTTGCTTCATTCCTTCCGCAACTCTCGCCCTCTTCGACCTCTCCCTATATACATGTTATCCCATTTTATCCTCTGCTATCGCCATGGCAGTTCGAGCCCAACACCCCTCCAACGTTCTGCTACTAAATAGGTACGCTTTGGGTCAAGCTCGCATTTTGATGCCAATTTCCTTGTTGGCTTCTTTGTCGAGTTGACATCTTGATGGATGGTTTTGGTGATTTGTGGCCGTGGAATCCATGCAGAAGCGAGCCGGAGAAGAAGGAAATGGAATTCCCTGGAACCGCCCCTGGGCTTCTCGATCAGTCTCTGGTTTACTTCGCCAATGCCAATGGAGGTGAGATTAAGGTGGCTCTTGTTGCTGATTCTTTGCTCCGTTCGTCGTCCGAGATAAAGATGAGTTTCCGTGAACAGCGAATGGGAACCCGATGAAGCGGGCAAGGGAAGTCACGGGCGTCTCGGTGGCGTCGCCGCCGCAGCAGGGTCACCTCATCAACCTCTTCGCCCTGGAACCCCTGCCCGCTTCGGCTCCGCTTCCACCTCCCACTCTTTTGAGCCTCGCCGAGCTTCAAAGCCTCCCCCGTCCCTTCACCCCCGGCGGCCTTCGTCTCGCCTTGGAAGGACAAAATCGGTACCAGAGCCAGAAACAATCCGATCCGCTTCTCTCTTCGTCTTCTTCCGTTTCCTCGTCCCTCCTCTCCGCCCTTCCGGCTGAAGAATTCGCTGCCCGAATCAACCGACACAAGGACGAAATCGAACAGTACCTCCACGCCCAGGTACCCTCCAGGTCCTCTCTTCTTTCTTTGGTTCTCGACGGCAAAAAGAGAGTAAAAGTTGGATTGTTCTGCTTCTGTGGAAGGGAGAGCAACTGCGGCGGTCGTTGGCGGAGAAGCATCAAAAGCACTACCGGGCCTTATTAGCCGCGGCGGAGGAGTCGGCCGCCCGGAGGTTGCGGGAGAAGGAGCTGGAGGTGCAGCGGGCGCAGCGGCGGAGCACCGAGCTCGAGGACCGACTCGCCTGCCTCCGAACGGAGTCGATGGCATGGCAAGCCAAAGCCATGGCGGACCAGGCGACCGCCGCATCCCTCCACGCCCAACTCCAACACGCCGCGTCTGCTGCCGCGGCTCCCCCTTCGGGGATGGGGGGCGGGTGCAACGAGACCCCACCCGCCGAGGAAGCCGGGTCGGCCTACGTCGATCCGGACCGAGTCGAGCCGGAGCGGTCGTGCCGCGCGTGCCGGCGTCGGACAGCCTCGGTGGTGCTCCTCCCGTGCCGCCACCTATGCCTCTGCGACGCCTGTGACGCCGCGACTGCCGCCGAGTCGTGCCCGGTTTGCCGCAGCGTCAGAACGGGAAGCATCCAAGTGTGCTTCTCGTAGGAACGCCCCCGACTCCCGTCACCGCCTCCCCTCCGCTCCTTCCTCACCGATCCTCCAAACTCGAAAATGAACTTTAATAATACATTCAATCAACATAAAATCTAGAATTATCTACAACTTTCATGTCCGATGATATTTCGTTGCCCCCACTCCCAAAAAACACGAAGAACTTTCATGTCCGATGAGCTTTCAGTTTCCCACGAGGAATTAATTATTTCATCGGCATGGAAGATCTGAGTGTCGGGAGGTGAACATATGTCCCTCGATGAGTTCTGATGCGTGTCAGCTTATAAACGATCAATCTTTCTCATTCAAAAGGATGATGATGTGCCATTCTCGTAAACCGTTCATAATTTTCTTAGCGACCAAAGTCGATCCATGCTTACTATTCGCTCACTCGTGCATCGTTCATTGCGGTTGATCACAAGGTGATGACGAGCACCCCCTCCCAACCAAATCACATCGAAGCCATAAATAATTTTGTCGTCACATCGTACCAGTGCGATCGCACATTATGCTCGATCCGAATACGAATGCGGGAAAGGAGAAGAATGGCTCCGGTGGACCAATCGCTAAGCCCTCGTCGTGTAATGTCGGCAGGCAACCCACGGCGAGATTAGTGCTGCGGAAGTCGATGATGGCAATGGCATGCCGACGGTGACGATGATAAATGGAAGAGGAGTGATGGATGACAATGGAGCGATTGTACGAAGAATCATGTTGGTGATCGAACGACAATGCTGGTGATGTTGGTCGATGTAAGTGGTGACAATGATGTCGAGGGTGGTCGAGCAAGCGTTCACGATCGTCCCTCGCAAAGACAACGTGGCCGGATGGAGTCATGTGCGCCGTGTCTCCATGGCACCATAAATCGATAGATACTTTAGGTTCGATGGATCTTTGGTTAGATTGGAGTAGTAGGGAAAGAGAGGATCCTGTTTTCCGGACCTACACAATGGTGATGGAGAAACTGTGCGTGGCGAGGTGATGAAAACTTTGATGATCTTTAGGTGTGCTTGCAGTCACGAGAAGGTGGGTTGTGTCGATTGAAATGAGTTGTCAAAGGTAGGTGTCGATAGATCCATTGCTACTTCATTGACTTGGTGCTTGTAGGTGACAAAAGGGTCCATCGATCTGATCCAAATGAGTTGTCCGTGGCAGGCATCGTTTATTCCTTTGCTACTTCATTGACTTTCTAACCCTCGGTACCACAAACTTTCCATGCTTAAAGCTACAACCGTAGATATGCTCTTGGCGAGGAAATTAAAGCTCTCCGAACCTTCGTTCCATGCAAATGTTAGAGTCTACTTACTTAACAAATCACGATAAATTATTAATATAATTATATATATAATTTAAATTTAAAAAAAAAATTAAGGTTCATTTTGTCCCTCGTGGTTTTGATCATGGATCATTTAAGTCTTTATGATTTATTCATGTATAAAATAACTCATATTTTCAAATACATAGCACATCTCGTCAAGTCTGAGTTAATATATGACCCTTTTATAATTGAATAAAATATATAATAGAATAACTGATTGGATTCCGTTCAGATATTTTAGTCAATAGACTAAGTCAACTGATTGGATTTCAGTTTCCCAAAAAAACCCCTTTCTCCCAAAATATATCACTCTCAGTGAGAAAGGATCTACTCCTCCTTGCATTCCTTGGCGACGGCTGCAACTTTGGATCGGTGGCTGGCTGGCTGCCTTGGATTAAAGACGGTGCTTAGCAAATCAACCAAGATCTCTAAAAAGATGACATCAAAAGGTACGCATCGTAATTAGATCTGTAAATTTATTTACGATGCATAAGCAATGACCACCGTCGACCTCGCTGCGAATCTGCGACTACGCCGGGTAGCGTACGCATCACAGAACCCGTCCCATATGCGAGCATCACAGAACCCGTCACATATGCGGGCATTACATAATCCGTCCCATACGCAGAACCCGTCCATGCGACGGCGGGCCGCACACGGCCAGAACCCGTTCATGCGACGGTCGGCCATACGCAGGCAGACAGCCCAAGTGGCGGCCGTGCGTGAGTAGGCCGTGCACAGGCGGCGGCCGCGCGCTGGCAGCAGCCACGCGCGGGCAGGAACCGCGGCAGCGGCAGCGGCAGCGGCCGCGCGTGACCAGTAGCAGCCCCGCGGCGGCAGCGCCGTGGCGGCAGCGGCCGCGCGCAGGCTAGAACTGCCGCTGGCAGCCGCACACAGGCGGCAGCCCGCAGCCACGTACAGGCGGCAGCCGCGCACAGGCGGCCGGGCCGCAGGCATCAGCGGCAGCGCCGCTCGCGTAGGCGGCGGCGGCGAAAGCAGATTACAGTTAAAATTACAGTTTTGCCCTCGATGCTAGGGTTTTGGGTATAATTACGGTTTTGCCCTCGATGCTAGGGTTTTGTTAAAATTACAGTTTTACCCTTGTAACTTTCGTAATTTCAAGTTATGTTCTGTCAAAATATTCACGGTTTTACCCTCGGGTTTAATTTATGCCAAAATTACAGTTCTGCCATTCGCATATTTCTGGTTTATTCCATTTCAAATATTTATGGTTTTATCAAAATTGAGAAATTTAATTCATATTCTCAATTATAAATTGATAAATATGATTTATTATAATTATGATTAATTTTAATCATAATTATATTTTTGATTATTTGATTAGATTTACTTTTTGATTAAAAAAACTATAAATTATGGTTTACTTTATAGTTTTCTCATATGAATTATTGATTTTACATGTGATAAATAAAATTTAAAATCTAATTCTTGTTTTTTGGACTTTTATTTATTTATTCACATGTATATATATGAAATTATAAAATTATGAAATAATATTTACCTTTCACATGAAAGCATGATTTATATGTTATCATGATTATCATATGAGTTTCGTATTGATTAATATTCAATAATTATTATTATTATTTATTATTAAATTACTTAGCATTAATATTTAATAATTATTATTGTTATTTATTATTGAATTACTTAATATTAATATTTAATAATTATCATTATTATTTATTATTGAATTTCTTAGCATTAATATTCAATAATTATTATTATTATTTTATTATTAAATTGTTTAGCATTAATGTTCAATAATTATTATTGTTATTTATTATTGAACTGCTTTGCATTAATATTCAATAATTATTATGGTCATTTTTATTATTGAATTGCTTAGCAAAAATTAAAGAAATTGATGAATATTATTTGTAATTCATTTCCCTAAGTTTTATCTGACTAGTAGCTGCCAAAGTGGCCTAGGATGATAGACTTTTATGATATGAATTACAATAAAAATTTTATCATTTATAGGACATTTTTATTTTATATCATTGCATTAGTCTTGTAGACACCAAAGTGACCTCGACTAATGATTTATAAAATAATATTAAATAATTAGTCCTAAATTATATTAAGGAAATAATATTCATAATGACACATATAATTAGGAGATTTAGATAATCTCAAAGGAGAATCTAATTCAAATAATTATATGATGGGGTAGGATGATACTATTTTTAGATATCCTTGCAGTTTAGGGTTGCATACCCAAATGTAACAATACTATTCCACAAGGATGGTATAAGTCCTTTATAAATATTCTTGAGTGAATACTAGATATGTCAATATTTCACTCAAAGATATAATATAGATGATATCAATAGTTCATCAATTTTTGACAAACTCAAAGCATTAATGTTATTCTATATTTTTGCAGTGGTACTTCTGCATATACATTCATATGCTTCAAGTGTCCTTGTACTCTCTAGATCAAATTATTTAGAATGGTTAGAGCATGTGCAATTCATACTAGGTGTATTAGATTTTGATTTAGCATTACTTGTTGAAAAGCCTACAGACTTGACTGATGAAAGTTTTGTAGAACAAGTAAATGAAATGAAGGCTTAGGAAAAATCTGATAGACTTAGTTTAATGTTCATAAGAATGACAATTGCAAATAACATAAAGACTTCATTACCGACTGCAACTAGCGCAAAGGAATATTTAAATGTTATTGAAGACAGATTTAAATCTGCTGATAAGTCATTGGCTGACACATTAATGAAAGAACTGACTACGGCTCAGTATGATGGCACTCGAGGAATTCATGATCATATTCTCAATATGGCTGACAAAGCTGCAAAACTTAAAACATTAGGTATGAATGTTGATGAATCTTTCCTCGTGCAATTTATTCTCAATTCTCTTCCTTCTCAGTTTGGCTCATTCAAGATTCACTACAACACAAATAAGGATAAGTGAGACTTAAATGAGTTGACTAGCATGTGTGTTCAGGAAAAATTGAGATTAAAACCAATACGCCCATTCCTACGTGAACCGATTCTTGGTATAGCTTTTGTCATATTTTATCATCTTATAAATATAAGTCAGAAATATACAGAAAGAAAAGATACGGAAATATCCATTTCATATTAAAAGAAATCCTTTATTTTTGTCTTTTCTTTAGAAAGTTCTTTTTTAGAAAGATTATCCCTGTCTCTGTTTATGTCTCGGATTGGAACAAATCACTATAATTCGTCCGCGCCTACGGATCAGTCGACATTTTT